TGATTTGACTTGAAATTCAATAATAAACTGCAGGTTTAAATACAATATAAGTACAAGAAACTATTTTTTACTTTTGCAGAAACAAAAACAAACTACTGTATTCACAAGAAAGTAATGTCCTGTACTATGGTCATCAGCTCAAGCTGTCACCTTTTCCATCTACTGAGTTTCATACCAACAGTGACATCGTGGATCTCTCTGTTTGGCTGCAACACCACTATCTGAATCATATCTACCTGTTGCTCCACAGTCCAGTCAGGGACTGGCAAGCCTGTGGAGGTATTTGCAACACATTAGTAATTTTATTCCAAAGCTGGAGGCTGCTCCTGAGCCCTTGCCCCAGGGCAGGGCTGCCCCAGTGGCTGTGCTGAAAGAAAAGCTCACCAAGTACCTTGCGCAAGTGTGAACTGAACTTTTCCCAGCAGTTCCCTTTTCCCACCCAGTTTTACGGTGCAGTCTGCAGAGCTCTGTTCCATGAGGGTGCCTTCAAACAATGCCCAGCCCCAGCCAGGACAGCTGAATTGTGCAGGCTGAGAATGTGCTCAGCTCCAGGCAGTTGCCATCGCATGGGAAGCGACCAGAATCCATCTGTACTTCCACGCCTGCCAGCTTTCTACAGGCTAGGAAAGATCAATGAATCAAAGTTATTTTGTCCTAACAGAATTCTCACCACTTCTGGGATGCCAAGCACCTTATATGGTTTGTATTAGCATGACTGGATTTCTGTCAGTGAAATAAGATGCCACCACTTTATAGCCCTGGCCTCCCAGGCAGAGCTCCTGCACAATGCAGCAGTTGTGTGAGAATGGCTCTGTGCCACCCACATGACTGACCATGTTATGATCTTAACTCATTTCACTCACAGGCACTGCAGAAAAAGCTCCAGCCTCTCTTCTCTCCCCAAAATATACCACATTATGATCCTGAATACAGGGAAAGCATTATATAAGCGAAGAGCATTTCAGTCAACTTGCTGAGACAAGGAAAACCAACAAAGAAACTTTCCATATGCTGTGCAGGCAAGATATTTTAAAAAAGCGATACCTACAGTAGGAAAGAAAAGAAAGTTGAGTCTACAGTGAAAAATCTGGGGAAACACACCATAAATCTTTCTGCTCCATCCACATTCTGTATTTTTTACAGAATTACTGAATGATTAGATAATTCAGTGACAAGTAAAACACACTTGCAGAAACATTGTCAAGTCTTAAATAGGACTGAAAGTGCCTCACCCACTGTTCTTCTCCTATGGCCTATGTGATCTCCCTCTTGACTTTTTCACTATTCTGCAGGCCACTCAGCCATCCTGTGACATTGTATGCACACATTATAGGCCTATCTGACCAAATGAAGAACAGAAACAATGACAGGGGTCTTCTACTTAACAATTAACAGATATTGCAGTGTTGTATTTTGTAGCTAACTGACTCCATTTTATTTAAATGAAAGTCCTCAATAGCTTAGTCAAATCAGAAGAGATGTCATCAAGATTAGGCAGATTTAAACAACTACTAGCAACCCAAAACTTTCCAAGTGTCCACATTCTGCCAGACCCTGAATATTGAATAAATGAAATAGCTGTATAGAACAGCCACCTTGGAAAGAAACAAAACAAAAATAACCCCAGACCCACCTTCAATTCTGTTATGCTACTGTGCTGTGTGATGGCAACTGCAGCTGCTGCTTAACAACATGTCCCATTTCTCCTCAGACAGCTGAACTTTCAGCTGGACTTTGTCATGTTCAAACTGCAGCCAGCTTCTATAATGCTTCTCCTGGATGCAGGATGTGGTACATCATGGAGATGTCTGTAGAGCCTGTCTGTGAGCTATTTTGTTATGTAGTGGGAAGCAGCATAGTAAGAAATTAGGGAACAGGAAGGAAAAACTGAGGACCAACTCCAAATAATTGCCTCCCACTTGTCTGACAAGGTCTGAGCCACAATGGATTCCAGGCACAGAAAGAAGATGGAAAAATGGCTTTAAACTTTGAAACATTCATTGCTTTCAAAATACTGTTCAAAGGTATCTTGGATATGCTCAATTCAAATAACTCACATCAGTGAATTAAATATCTGGAAAACAAACTTTTGTAGTTTGGTGTTTTCTCAGATGTTCCAAGGTTTGAAGTGTAAATGGAAAATGAAATCATGATTTGTTATAGAAGTGGACTGCAAAAAGCACGAGAGAGTCACAAATTCTGCAGTTTGGCAGATGCCCTGCAAGCCTCTCTTGGCATCCAAGCCTGGGGCAGACCAGTCTGAAACGAGATTTAAGCCATCAGCACTTGTGGCTCAGAAGTTATGCACTGTGAATCAGAAATACCCTACTGAACTTTTTTGGTTTGGTTTGGTTTAAGGTTTTTTTTTGTTAGCTGAAGCATTTAAATCAGTGTCTGCCTTAGAAGGGAGAGGCTGCCTACCTGCTCTGATCCTACATATCTGCAGTGAGACCCAATTTGAGAGAGGACAGGAACTATGCTGAGCTGCTGAGAAGACCCGGGGCAGGACCAGCTTGAGCACTCCTTGAAGAGATAAACCCTTACATTCCAGGCAAAGGCTGAGTCACACCTCTCTCTGCTCCTGACTGTCACAAAGAAATCAAGACAAGTTAGACAACCTGCTGCAAACCCTCTTCTTCTTTTTTAAGCAAAGTGTTCAGTGTTACAGCGTTCAGTGGTCAGGAGTACCAAACAGTGCTGCTGGTAAACCACTGGCTGAGCACAGACTCACATCCCTCTGTGAGTGCAGACATCATCAGGGGTGCAACACTTTACAACAAGCATGCTCCACTTTAAAGTAACATATGGATGCTTCAGCAATACAGATAGAAAAGCTTTAAGAAATATGAGTCAGGACTTCCCGTGCTGTACTTGTGCAGGACAGAAGGACCCCCAGTAACAAGCTGCCAACTCCTAAGCAGGCAGACAAAATTTTATGTACAAATTTTAAGACCAAACTTTGTTTAAAATACAAAAATGGACAGAATGCAGTTGACAATCTCACTTACAAAAATCCTGGAATAAACCCTCTGACACTGACAGTTTTCTTATTTTTATTGGCCTGGCTGCAATTTTTTTTATAGTTTTATTTTTAATGATCCATTTTTGATGTTTAGTTACTGAGAACACTTGAACTGCAGTAACACAAAAGGATGACTGTGAGTGATTTGTGTCTTCACAAATTAAATTTAGACAAGAACAGGCTCGGACTGCGGATCTTTGTCCCTGGGTAGTGACACTAATAATCCCCTATGCACACACTGGAGAATGAGGCAAGAACAATCCCTTCCTCAGGTATGTGTGGCCATGGGAGCTAACGTTCCCTTTAAAGGACTGTAGGTGTCTGGTGTCTGATGACTGGTAAAATGCTAATGGTAATGTTATCTCAGTTGTACTTCTAAGTAAGTTGTCTGCTAAGCCCTTGGTTTCACCTTGTAAAATAAAACAGAGATTATGTTCATTTCATAGAGGCCAAAATTTTGTGGGTTTGTTTCGGTTTTTTTAAACAAAAAATTCTGTCAGACTGCTTGTGTACTTTTACATGACACTGCAATGAAAAAAGAAAGCATGAAAGTGGAGAGAAAGGAAAAACCTGAGAAACTGAAGCTTGTGGCCTGGTGCTCACAATCCACAGGCATGAAGCAGCAACACCACAGCTATTGCTTTGATCTATCTCCCTATTAATCCCTCTTCCCACAATAGAACCACTGACATTTCACTGGTATTCAGATGTGATTAAAATATATTCTAATACCTATAAATAGAAATGTTGGTTCAAACACTAATTAAAACCAAATATAGCATTTGGAAAACTGTATCAACAAAAAAGTAAAAGGGTGCAGTAAACAGCAGCAGTCGAAATGTTGCCCCTTTTTTTTTTTTCTCTGAGAAAAAGCTAGACCTCTGTTCTATAGATTTTTATGTTAATGTTTGGATTTCCAAGTGTTTACAAGCATCCACCCAGCAACTTCAGCATAAGAGTAACAAGACAGACTATGCTCTCTCCTTCAATTCTGATTATTACCATAAAGTTCCAGTGATAACAGGGCAAGTCATGCACACTGACTTTCTGCAGCCTTCATGGTAGTTTTTAATTAAATGTTAAGTTACCTTGTTCCCACATTAGTTTGATCATATGACACTTCACAACCAACCCTTGTTTCTATATACATGTATCTACACATCCTTTATTTTCCTGACTATTCTACCTTCTTACCCTCCCTCCTGCATTACTATCTACTTGGAGCAAAGGCTTATTGCAAGGCAAGGGGGACTTTACAGCTTTGCTGCCTTAACTGTCAAAACTCTCACAGCTTGAGAAAACCATGGGAGTTCACGAAATAGCCAGCTCTGCATGTGGTAGTAAATATGTAGTGGTTTGTCCCCCAAAGATATAGAGCACTTTGGAGCAGGGATGGAGCCTTTACAATATTATATAAAACAGTGTTTTCCTCAGGGAATGTTCATATCACTGGCACTTACTAGAGACAACTGTAAAGAACTGAATCTCCCTTAAACTCAAGCCCCAAACCAGAGCACACCACAGTCTCTCTGGAGAGCCGAGTGAGACTTCTGAGCACACAAAGAGGGACAATATGAGCTGAAAATGGGGAATAATAATTTTAGAACATGACAGACACATTTGGAGACAACATCACAACTAAACGAGACCGGGCTCTACTATACAGTCAGCATGCTACATGAAAAATTGAACACTTGAGTAAATGTGCTGCTTGAGGTGCCTGTACAACAGTTTGGACACCCAGGCTGGCCTCTGCTCCCTTGGTGTGCAAACACACCTGAGCCTACACAAAACACACAGACACACTAAGTCGTTAAGGCACGTGAAGATGCAAGAATAGCGGAGTTCAGATCATCCAATTTCAGATTTAGGCATGTGAAAAGAGAACTTGAGTAAGCCTGGTTCCTGGTGAACACTGTCACTCCCAGGCAATAACACAATGGGGTGTGTTGGGTAGATTTTTTCTGAAGAGACTTACCTCAGCATCCTGCTCCCGGAGCTGGTATGTTCTCTCCAAGCACTGCAGTGTTCTAGGACACAATGTCTTCTCCTCCAACAGAAACTCCAGAAGTAAGACCAGCTGGTCAGGGAGAAGCTAAGAGAAAAATAAATGCCATGTGTGAATGAAGATCTCTACTGACTGAGCAATTAAATGGAAACAAACCACAGAGGACAGGGTTGTGATAACAAGTACTTCCAACATGTGCTCAAAATACAACATGGACTTCTAGCTGGTTTCTGAAAATCCTCAGGGTTTATGTGTCTGTATTCTGAAAGATTGTGCTGGGGCACAATTAAGACTTGTTTGTCATGGTTTTCGTTACTGTGGTTAGGTCAGATTTAAAACGTGTTTATTGAAACATAATCGTAGCTTAATAAGTAAGATTTGTATTGAATGAATAAACTAAGTAATTCCATTTTGTTTGGGCTTGGAAGAGATAAGTGAATCATTTACAGTGCACAATTTCAGGAATCAACTAGGCACATGAATGTATAATTTTTTAGTAGTGCTCATATATAAGCATTTGCAGGATACATCTACAGCAAACAAAGAAACACAGCACAAATAAGTGACTCAGAGAACAAGTGTTGTAATGACACATTTTGAGGCACATTTGTGGGCAATGAGTCCCAAGTCATTCATCATTACATGGTAAAGATACATGAACATTGTGTGGATATATACATATATACAATAGTTAGTTGCCTGAACCTATGATTTTCAACTTGAACCTAATGTAACCTAAAAAGAAAAAGCATAAGAAGTCTGTTGTAGCAAGTGCTTAAGTGCTTTGTTTAATAGGCTTATTGGATGAACAAATAAATAATTCAAACAGAGCTCAGAGAGAAATTACACCAGCTGCCAAGAAAAAATCTACTGGAAATTCAGGATACAAGGTGATCAGTCAGAAGTTGTTTATATGCCCCATAACTTTCCCCACTATTCGTCATTGCAGGGCACCAAGAGAGAAAGGGGAAAGGAAGGAAGGATGTCAGTTTAAGTTTTTGCAAACAAAAAGAAACCAACACTGTTCAATTCTAATGTTCTGAAGACAGACTAATGAAAAAAGACATCCTGTTACTCTGACACCCCCTCCAGTTTTTACCACATCTGGACTTTCTGCTCCCACTTTGCTGCCTGCCCATGTCCCCAGCCCTGCTGAGCAGGGATGAATTTGGCCACAGGAAATGCCTGACATCCCACAGCCAGGGCTGTTCACGTGGACCGAGCAAGTCTGGATCCCTGATCTCTGACAGCAAGTCCATGAAGGTACCACAGATCTTCTGGTAAGTCTTGATCTGTAAAGTATTGCCATTAACAACCAACACAGCAACATGACATTTTCTTCCCTTTGAGACTGATGTAATTTAGCATTAGTACCTAAATCAGAACAAAGAGAAAAAGGAGATTTTAAGGCTCTGCCTCACATTTTGATTTTCATTTTTTTTATTATTCAAGTTAGTTGCATTCCTGAAGACTAAAAAAACCTCACATCTTACTGGCTCCTACTGGAACATTTTCTAAGTGATACCGAAGCCTGCTAAGAAAATGGCACATTAAAAATGGTCAGACATTTAAAAATATTGAATATTTCAATTTCAGGACAACTATTAAAATGACAGTTTGGACGTTTATTACATAGGTCAACAGCAGCTGCCTGGGGGTTGGTGAGACAGGCTAAAAAATATAAAAGGGAAAGCTTCTGGGAAGTGGTTCTGCTTGGAAACTGAATTAATTCTGAACACTAATAAAATCTGAAATGTTGCAGAACGCCACACACAAAAAGGTAACTTTTGATTTAGAAAGCTTTGCCTGCTAACTACAAAGACAGCAGAACAGCATTTAATTTAACCATAGAACAGCTGCTCAAATACATAGGTGCAGACCAGCTGAGGGTTACTATTTTATAACATATTTCCAGTGTAATAGCTATACGGATTCAGCCACAGAAAGATATTGTTTAGGGAAACATTACAGAATCTCACTGAAGTCAACAAGAGCAGTAGCAGAGCAGCAGCCATGCCCTTAATTTACCCCTGCTTAGTGCTGCATCATGGCTGAAGACTTTCCAGAATTATAGGATAAACACTTATCGGTTCAGATTTGGGACTGCAGAGTAAAAAAACCAATCAATCAAACAAAACAAACAAAACCCCCCACCAACAATAATAAAACCGAAACCAAACCAACCAAGCAAAAAAAACCCCACAAAATCCAACCCAAACCTGCCTGAGCTCAAGAAGCATTCGGCCAATGCTCTCAGGCACACAGGGGGATCTTTGGGGTGCCCTGTCAGGGCCAGGAGCTGCACTCAGTGATCCTGATGGTCCCTTCCAGCTCAGCATCCTCTATGATTCTATGATATGGGAACGTGGCTTCTGCTATTTACCCCCATTCCAGCTGCTCAAGATTACACTGTACAGGCCAGTTTCCAGCTCGAGGACTAATGACAGTCCAGGGCAGGAGCACAAACCCCAGCAGAGGGTGGGGGCACGGGCAGAGGAACTGCAGGCTCCTCACGGCACTGGCACTAGTGGGCGCAGCTTGTTTGTTCGCCGGCTGTTTCCAACACAAGTAAAAGTAGGAACATTCTCTTCTCCGTCTTACCCCTTCCTTTCACTAAAAGAGACTCCATCAAAGAGAAAAACCCATCTTAAGTAAAGACACAGAAAGCTTGGCCGAAGTTTCACGACAGAGGCTGCTACAAAATTCACCCAGGGATGTAGAAATCCTCCTTTCCTCAAACAAAGCAATACGAATATCACTATCTCCAAAGCAGCTTTTTAATGGTTATAAATAAGCTTAAAAAAATCGCACTTGAATTTTCTGCCAAAAACCCCACTCTTCTTATTTTTTTGTTTTCCCCACTACCATCTTATTTGTCCTGCCCATCTGTTACTTCTCATCTTCATACCTGGAGAATTGTTTGGGGTCAATTTTCCATTTGTTTGCCTTATGCTTTAATACAAAGGGGCCCATGCTACCAAAACATAAATGCTGTAGAGAACAGAACAAAAATTTCTTTTCAAGTATCATGAAGCCATTTTCCTTTACAACTCATATTCTGTGAATGCATAGTGAAATATCTAACACACATAAAAAAGTACATAACACAGCTACAACAAGTTACAGCAGCATAAACTTCACTTTATGAATGTGTTTCCGTGTTAAAGGCATTCAGAAAACAACCATAACATCCTAAACACAGAATTCCAGTGTTCCTCTAAAGTAAGTTTAAAAAAATCCCCATGCTCTGAACTGCATTGGAGAGTGCTCAATCAAAATGTTCAAATATACACAATTATTAAAGCAGATCACTTCAATCAGGAAATGTGGTCAGGATCAAGAAATATTTTCATTACGTCGATGATTGCTGCAACAGGATCTATTTATATTGTAAAGTAGATAGTTCCTGTCCCAACCTATGGCTGCTGCATGGAAATCATAAACTTTTCCCAGGGCTGCCCCTCCCCCAGTTGTGAGCACTGACACTACAAAGACAAAATAAATTAATAACCTGCGACCAAGCACAGCAGAGGTTTTCTGTCATGTCCCATGTAATCAAACATTTTCCCCACTATAAAGCTGTATCCCAGCACTGTACACATTATTCTGCCCTTAAGACAATAAAACCTCTGCTTGCAACCTTTTGAAAGAGTTCACTTTGTCCTGCCACTAAACAGCCACTTGTCCCCTGCTCCCCCTATTACCTGATGTGGCTCTTTTAAAGTGTGAATAACACAGCTGTTACCCTTAAAACAAACTGCAGATTATATCATTTATATCAGTGAATATCAAAACTAGGTCTTGTGTTTGAAAAAGGCAAGATGAAAGAATTAAAGAAAATGTAACCAAATAGAAAATATAACTAAGACTATTACAGAAACAGCTTACTGTGGCTGAGATTCACAGTGCACTAAGTATCTGGGAAGTAAGAAAAGCATACTTTGTATTTTATTCATATCAGCACACAAGACACTCAAGCCGTTATACCTTGTTACAAGAGTATCTCAATGCATTAGTAGCTTTTACAGGGTTTCTGCAAATAATCTTTGAAAATAACTCCTATGAATTTTCTGAGTACAACCCCTAACCTGTAAAAAAGCACAAAGAAAGCAAATCTTTCCTCTTCCAAGATCTGGTACAGCAGCTACGGAGGTCATCAACCTCACATCTCAAACGACCACCCACGTGAAGGAGTGTATTTATCAATTCCTACATTAACAAATGAAATAAATGCCAGATTCACCCTTTATACTAGAAAAAAAATGCCACTGAAACATTTGACCACTGACCTTTCACAGCCATGAAATGGGACACAGATACATCTATCTGAGTATCCATAGTCCCAGCACTTGCACTGCACCCCTCAGCCAGGACACAAATCACTAAAGCTGTACAGCTGGTATGCTGAATATCCCATTTGCTCCTGCCTGCATTTGAATGAAGTCATTGAAAGCCTCCTTGGAGGGGAAATCTGCCTCAGACTAATGCAGCAACCGATTGACAGTGGCGTGATTTCTATTATTATTCCATTATCACACTGGGATCTGTGCCTAAATGAGCATACTTCCTCCCTGATGCCATTTCCTTTTATCCTGGCTCTAATCTAAAAGTGGATCAATGAGAGTAATATACATGATGTCACTTCAATTTACAGCCATTGCCTCCTTCTCTCATAGGCACAGATGGATCGATTCTTCCCAAAAATGGTTAAGAAATGCACAGGGAGATTCTCCTCCGAGAAAAGAGTTCTCTGCTATATTTGTCTGTGTAACCACAGCAAGGAACTGTTTACATGGAGCAAAAAAACAGGGGGGAAAGGAAAAAAAAAGTCACTACTGTGCACTGGAAAATGCTGGCCGAAATACAAGAAAAACAAGGCCCAACAACACTGAATTAAAGCAATTTAACCTTTGAAAATTATACAGAAACATTTGAAATTTCTAAGGCACAATATATTTCTCCTGTATTTCTTTGGGGAAGGTAGTCTTGAGTCCCATTCCCAAAAACATGAAATGTATTTTCATTTACACTTTTACAAAATTTTCCGAAGTCAAATCGAATTCCTTCCCACTCCTCTCTTAGGAAAG